AATCATAAATCTCACATATTTTGCCAAGACAGCAAGTTGCTATGATAAACATTTTCGATAATACATAAAATGTAAAATACAATTTTGTCCATAGCAGAATGATTTTCAAATTCCAACAATCCTCTGCACTTTACCTGTTTGTAATCTTGAAGAATGCGTTTGATGTTTTTCGTCCGATACTCAGAGCTGAGTGGAAGGTTGCTTGAATTAGGTTCTGTTGCCATGGCAATGACAGGATTGACTGAATCTTCTTTGGAATGTCTCACTGGCATTGCTGAGAGCTAGGACTGTCAGTGTATGCAATGCTCTTTCTCAAGTGGTTTTGCCAATTACTCGTACAGAGACCTACAGTACATGTGTAAAAACAGACAATGATAATTTTATGATGGAGAAGTTAGGAATATAGGAATTTTGGGTAAATTTGGAACTTCAACAAAATACCCATTAACCACTTCCTGCCGGGGACTCGGAACTCGGACAAAGGAAACAGGGCCCTGTAACAAAAGACCGTACTCCGAACAAAAGACCAGGCTGCTGGGCATTACCGACCATTATCACTCTCAAAAGTGGAGATAATCCAGCCTTGTTTTGAAACGTATACCAGGGTTTGGGGCATTGAGAGCGAGCGGATTACCACCGGGGACAAAAGCTCTCCACCACCGCAGCGATGAGCCACACAGCACCGCTGCACGCTAATCTGGGCCCTATTGAAAAGAGGTCAGCAGTGCACTGAGCCAGGTTCATGAACAAAAGACAGTTATACAACACCGCACAATCTGGGCTCTGTTTACAAGGCTGCTGGCCCAGCTGAAATACTCAGGCAGTCAATGAAGGTCACCTGTTAACTTAGAGTAGTGCCTAAAGATTACTTGGTGCGGCTATAAACGACCGTTAAATGAAATGATGAATTTTTGAAGGATTTTGAAAACGGAAAAAATGATAGTCATGCTGGCCAAGCATCATCAACATTGAAAAATGCCCTGGCATTAAGTGGTTAATCCCTTTTTCAACCATGGTAAATAAAATTTGGGACACGTCCAGCTGATTCTTGAGGACCAGTGTAAATTACAAACAAAAAAATCAGATTCTGAAGGTCCATATCTTAGTTTTTCTTGGTGTTTGTGGTTCTTTCATGACAAGGTTCTGGTTGCAACAAGGTACTCTTGCTGGTTCCTGGGACCTTGTCGTATTAGCTGGGTGGTACATGTACCTCCTCTACCGGTAGGTTTGTGCGGTACTCCCGGTTCTGAGCGGAACTGCAGTTCCAAAAAATTGGAATCGGCGGCTCTGCTTTTGTGAAGAACTGGGTACCCATCATTGGCAGTTCCACATTCAAAGAGCCGACTCCAAACATCGAATCTGAGTCACCACTGCTCCTGCGTGTACGTGTACAGCATGCTGTACATTTAGCAGGGCACCCTTCCACACAAGGGAAAATGTGTACATAAATGAACTGTAAAATACCCTTGTGTCTGGGTACCAAACCACATTGGTTATTGCACGCACGGCAAAGTGGAGCTGTGCAGCCAGAAGCCATTAAGCTCGAAGACTGTTTTACTTGTGGCTGTGACTTCAACATTGGTGAATTTTGCCTTGTGCTTGCATGTTGTTGTACTTTCTGCATATGGCAGGTTCCTCAAAATATGGACCATTAAATAATGTTCAACTTCGGGGGTTCATTTTTCCTGAAGTGAACAGCAGTGAATTAATTCCCAATGTCTGATGTAATGAGGGAGATCATGGCTGATCTGGAACAATGATGACCGTGTCAACCTTTCAACTTAAGTGGAGTTAATTAATTAAAGTCTTGAACGTCAGCATTTTTGATGGACATGAACAACCTGTTGAAATCCTAGCCAATAGAATTCACTGAGGAGTAATAATCCCCACGGTTATTTTACACAGATTAATATATGGTGAAAGGCGATATTTACACATATTAAAACCCCCTCTGCAATTTTTCTCTTCAGAACAAGGTTTCTCAAAAGAAAATCTGTCATTCTGAATGACGTTCGAAAAAAAAATGACGTTCTAGACATGAAATGCGATTCATGATGAAAATTTTAGTTTAATTTTCAACGGAGATATCTCCAAAATAACCGACAAAATGAAAATCACGCATGGAATTTTCGAGCACGACATGTGACAGCATTTTCGGCATTCTTGTAGGTCATGCAGTTTTTGTCAAAATTTTCAAACGTCATCAAAATACTGTCAAATATAACGTTTGCAACAAACATAATGTGCTCATTATAGCCAGCTACGAGGTCGTGCTTGACCACTCACACACAAAATACATACAGGGCTTCACCTACATGTACATGACCTAATCATAATAGGCCACATAAATGCCCATATCAGAACTGCCCATGTTCGAATGGCTCGTTTTTGAATGGGCGGCTGAACTCATTAACGACCTGATTAGACTTGCTCCCACATTCGTGGCTTGGGAGAATGTTTTTTAGAAGGGAAATTAAGTTCTCCGATCAGACTTTCTCCTGTACATTGTATTTGTGGCTTGGGAGGATGGTTTTTAGAAGGGAAATAAAGTTCCCTGATCAGACTTTCTCCTGTATCCATGGTTTGGGAGTTTTTTATGCACACACTGACCAATCTCAACATTTGAAATTAAAAAACCTCATGTTGTCCTCTATACATAGTGACCTTATAAATACTTACACACAAGGATGTAACTGGACGTAACTGGCAAAGGGATTGTCTTTATTACAAGTATTGTTTGTATTCTAACAGTAACTTTCAGTCTCACATCAATGGTTACAAAGGTACAAATGGTCGCTCGATAACATTCATTTTGGACCGTTAATCCTCTGCTAAACATTAATGTTTTTCTTTCCATTGAAGCTTCACAACATAACATGGCTGTCAATGGTTTTCATGAGATACTCTGGATTATTACTAGTCCAGGAAGGTGACTTCAATCCAGACGCTCAACAGTAGACTAGCTGATACCCGATTTTTAGGTTCTGATTTACTACACAGTTCCTCTATTTGAGGACTTTGCCGACTGGCCTCGTCTGTACTGATTCACGCAACAAATGCCTTTCCTAATACTAACAAGTGTACATTGCCTCCTTCACTGCATTAATGCACAGATTCCATTATTATAACCCCACCTTGTTTCATTTTACTCTTGCAGAAACTGGTTGGATTTAGCATGTTCCAAACTGCCTGTTTGTTGATTTGCCTGACGCATGAGCTCTTTATTTTAACAACTGTACCTATCCTACTTCACTCAAAGTGACTATCCCACGTTTTATATCCTATCCGTAAATACACGCTAGTACCGTCAGCATCAAGCCAGAGGACGGTGAATGAACGGGGGACTACTGTTCACCCCATAATCGTAACGCTGTGGTCTATACCGCTCAGACCTTTGTCAACTTGGCTGCTCATTCATCGCGTACTACATCTTTAGCCAATTTTTCATTCAGTCCAAGGGCCGTTTGACATGTACAACCTTCTGTATACTTGGCCTGAATGTCGTTATTGCAATAACTACTTCTGTAATCTGTAACTTGATTATAACCGTTTATTGATTTGTGCAAAAACTTGCTGGTTTTTTGCCTACCTTACTTCAGTTCAAGTTTGGGAGTAGTTTGCACCAGCTTCACCCTGATGATTCTTGCTACCTTATCAAAATATCTTGCTTTTAAGGTTTTTTTGGTTAGTTTCTTATTAGGCACGACTTACTTATTCATAACTCCTACAGTCTCAACTTTTACACACGTTCCTCAAGTAAACACTTATCAACTCAACATTGTACATCGTTCGGCATCGCAACAACCTAGTGTTTTCCTTTATACATTTCCTGAATAATGTATTCCGCAGAAACTTTGTTAAGGCTTCTCGACATTCCCAATGTATACACAGTGTACTTCATGCACGAACCAATTTATTTATTAAACGATTTATGTATAGTTGCCATGCATTGCACACAAGGACAATGTTTCCATGTGACTTCCTTGATAATCCTTTTCTTTAGCCACTCCCCATTCACGTTGTATTAACCCTTACCTTGGTTTGGACTTTAGTTTTTTTCAACCATCCCCATGCATTCAGTGTGGCTTTGCTCTCTGTAAAATGAAAACCCATTCACACATCGTTGCATCGCTTTGAAACCAACACTTTGGCAACATCGTAGCTAACTACAGGTTACTTGCTTTGGACTAGAATTTTTCCAGCCATCCCCATTCACGCATCATTACATCATTTAAAAAAACTGACACCTCGGCAACATCGTAGCCGGCTACAGGGTACTTGGTTTGGACTTACAATGTTTTTCCAACCCTCCCCATTCATGCATCCGTGCCTGTTTTCCGACTGCTGCCTTTGCAACATCGTAGCCAGCTACGGCGTACTTTGCTTTGGACTTTTTTCCCACTAGCTTCATTCATTCATCCTCCATTCACTGACCTTTGCATCCCCACGTTAAATCCCATGTAGTTAGCCTTCACACATTTGCTACTACGCCAGTTTGCAACTCCACCCATTACGTTTTGCAGCTTTAACTGCACCACGGCCCCTTTGACATCCTACCCAATGATTTCAAGGGGGTAACTTTCGAGCAGTGGGGTATTCTGCAATTATTCCCTTAACTGCATAAGGCTTAGCACTTGACAGCAGAGTAAGCAGGGGCAAAGCCGAGTGACATCCATATATGGACGCCAGTAATAATTCCCAAAAGTGACCTATTAGCCATCAGAAAGCAAAAACTATATATAT